CTGCTTTCACTGTTATTCATTGTTGCAGAGGCCTTGGATTCCTTATAAAATGGAGAAAAAAGAGGAAGAAATATTACCATTTTTGGAGATATGATCTCTACTCAGAAAATAACATCCAAAAAAAACCAATAAGAACTAGTAATTAGTTCAAAAGGTGACTGGCTACAAAGAGAACATACAGAAGTTACTAGTTTTCTGTATGCCAACAATAACCAATTAGCAAATCAAGTAAAAAGATCTCTTTATAATAGCTACAAAAATTATTAAATTATTGGGAATAAATGTAAGTGAATAAAAGACCTCTCTGAAAAAGCCATAAAACGTGAATAATTGGAAAGTATACCATTTTCTTATATCATTAAAGAAACAAACTAATATTGTAAAATGTCAGTTCTTAGATGAATCTGACATGGTGTCACAGTGTTGACACATTTTATAGGAAGACATTTCAGACATTGACTATTGATCTTCCAAGTTCAGTGTTAAATACTGAACTTCAGACCTGGCTAATGAGGAAAATGATGGTTCCATTAACAAAAATGGGAAAGTAGAAGAAAAAGCTGTATTAAGAAAAATAACCAGCTCAGTTTTGGACATCCTTTAAGGGGCCAAGAAATCTCCAGCTGGAAATGTCTATCAGAATGTTGTGAGGGACTGACATTCAGAAGTATAATTCCCATAATACTTCAAATTTTAGTGCTTTAAGTTTTAGGAATGTGGAAAAATAGGAAATCTGTTGCTGATTTGCCTTGCCACATGAGAATAGTTTATTCTGTATAAAATACAAAAGGACTAGAGCTTTTGTGGAAATGTGAAAAGCTCAGGACAACTGTTACCTAGTATCTTCATTTAAATGTTGAATTTCAGTAATCAGTAGGTGATTTCCTTCCAGGGGATTCAGATTTCTTTAGCATCCTGAATTGATTGACCTAATTTATAAGCCGCTCTTGGAAAAATATTATAAGCTTAAGGAATGTAGTTTTTTTGTGGAAGAACTTGAGTTTAAGAGTCAGTTTTCAGTTTAAATTTCAACTCTGCCATGTTAATTTGAGTAAATGATTATTTTTGACCCTCAATTTCCTGTTTAGTATATTATGATAGTTCAGAGGGTTCTTATGAGGATTAAATGAGAGAACACATTTAAATCCTCTAGCTTAACACAAACATATAGTATTTAGGAAATGTGAGCTCCTTTCCCACACCATCTCCTCAGGTGGTAACTCTTCTCATAATAAGCCTGGGGGATTAAAATAGTCTCCCAGCCTATTGGTGCCAATGCTGAGAAAGCCCCTTGACCAAAAGTTGCTGCTTTCGATATTAATGCCCAGAGAAAAAAATAACTGACAGCTACTGCATAGATGCTATTAATTATACAGTTTAAGAGTTTAGAGGCATATAGCTTAAATGTCTCAGCAGCATTCCTAAATATGAGTACCAAAGATTATAACACATACTGTTAAATGTTATAAAATTGACCAATTATGCTGCCTTTTTGAAGAGTAATGATATTAAAAATGGAAAAGATCCTGAGAAAGATCACCTGATATACTATAGAAACACTTTTGATGATATAGTCTCTGATGGCATACCAGTGCACCAGATGTAACCAGATGTAAATAACCCAGCGCTTTAGTAGATCTGACCTCACTTTTAATTTTTTATTGTTTTTATTTTTCTTTGATACTTTTCACCTATTTTTTATATTTATTTTTTCTAACTTTTAAAAAATTAAATTTTTTTTGTTGGATATGTTTTTGGAAAATGCTTTAAGTCTTTTTAAATATAGAAAGAATTACTAGTTTGGCTTTAAGAAGGAAATATTAGGTGTCATGAATAAAAAAACTTGATACCTAAAATTCAAATCAGTCATTTATTTATCAAATATTTAAATGCTTACTAAATGAAAAGCATGATTCTAAATAGTAGGGGTGTAATAAAATCAAGTCCTTCATGGAACTTAATATCCTAGCTGGTTGAGTATGAGTTGTGTTTTTAAAAAACAACAAAAATATGGATTTTTTTCTTTTTTTAATTATGTATTATCATTATTTATACCTACAGCACCTGGTCTTCCTAGGTGGTCTCCCATCGAAGTACTAACCAGGCCCAACCCTGCTTAGCTTCCAAAATCAAACATTGGACTTGTTCAGGGTGGTGTGGCTGTAGACCATGGACTGTGGCTCTACTGGGGCATGAACCCAGGACCTTCTGTGTATAAAGCAGACGTGCTAACCGCTACACTATGGATCCGATCTTTTTTTTTTATTTATTTATTTTTATTTTTTACTTTTTCAATACAAGTGCTTTTCAACTTTTCTACTCTCCAGAATATTCACACAATTGTTTTACATTTTAGTAACATCTCATCATTCACAGTGATTTTCAGATTTTTGAGGGAGAGGATATAGAAGGTGTGGTTGTATGGAATGAACATGTTTACATTTATAATTGGAATCAATCTGATATAATGGAGAGCTGTAGGAGATGAGGCCTGAGAGAGAAATTTAGGTTCAAGTAAAAGAACCTTGAATGCCTGCTGAAGAACAAGGAATTTATCCTTTGGCTAATTTTCAAAACTTAATGGGTATAAAAATGACCCGGAGGATGTTGTTAAAATGCAGACTCTCAGCTCCATTTCCAGAGATTTTTATGTTGCTGTCAGGAATTGGCATTTAAATATGTGGCCCAGAGCAATCTTGATGTAGGTGGTCTGGGAACACACTGAGAAATACTGCTGCAGGCTTAGGTTTGTGTTAGAGAAGGAGAACTAGTGACAGCAAGGAGTGGAAACCAGGAGGTACTGCTTAACTTTCAAGTCTAGAAGTAGAAAGGCCTAAACCACCATAATAGCAAAAAAAGATGACAAAATGGCAAGAGCCTCATTCCAGAGATACTAAAAATGTAGAGCTCATAGGACTTCGTGACATACAGGTTGTGATGAGTGAATGGAAAGCAAGAGTCAAGAGTGACTTAAGGGTTACAGGGTTATGCAACTGGGTAGATGGATGATAGGTTGAAAGTACAGGATGAGGAACAGGTGATGGATGATGATAAATCTTGGAGTTTGAATTGCTGTGGGAATGCAAATGAACAGTTTTGAGTTGGGCTTAGGAGAGAGGTTGGGAAATAAACAGACAGCACATAGATCCCAGGTGGAGCAATGGATGTGGATATGTAGAATTAGAAGAAAAGCGGGCCAGGTAAACAAACTGAGGAGCATCAGATGTCATATGCAGGAAAAAAAAAAGATTGCTGAGAAAACATGGGGGAAAGCGGTCATATTGCGGGATAATAAGGAAAAGCCAAGGGAACAGAAAACCTGAAGAACAAAATAGTAATCTAATGTAACATCTAATGCTTCAAGGAATCAAAGTAGGAAGAGCACGGTGATCTTTAGATTTGGCAGTCAGGGTGTCATTTCTGACTTTTGCCAGAGTGGTTTCAGTGAATTGATAAAGGCAGAAAGCCAGATTATAATGGCTTGAAAAGTGAGAAATGAGTGTGCAATAAGAAACCAAAGGCAGTGTTCATGGCCTCTAAAGAAGCTGAGCTGTGTGAACTACTGGTGTTTTGATCTCTTGGAACAGATGTAAAATATTCAATAGCATGCAGTTTGAAATCAGTATACAGTTGGAGCCTTAATTTTTCTAATGTATAATGAGAGTTTTGTGAAAATAAACATTTATATAATTTTAGTTCTAGAGATACTTGTTTCTTAGCCCTTTGCAGTCTAACTTCTTGCCATCCAGTAATTTACAGTTTGGCAAACCCATGGAGGGGTGATGAAACACTCTGAAATTATAGAAGAAACAGAGTTACCCATACATGTAAAGCACACATATGCTTTAAATGGATTTTGCCATTTTAAAAGATTTTATTTCCAGCTTAATCCACAGAGTAAAAAATTATGAAAGGAAGGGAAGTTGTCAAGCAGGTGGCTAGAAAAGGATATTGACAAAAGATAGAAGGAAGGTGAAAAATAAGAGAACCAGGGTGAAAATGAAAAGGAAGTAGTTAAGCTTTTCTTCTACCAGATTTGGTCTTAGTTGCAGGCTGTTAGTTATTTTTCTCTATCCTTTTTCCTTGCCTGTCCAGATGCTTGCCAGGTTTAAGAGCTTTGGAATCCCTTTGAGGGTTGAAATTCTGTTTCACTACTATCAGCTGTTTGGTGGGCAAATTTTTTAGCCTCTTTGAACCTTCCATTTCCTATAAATGGGAAAAAAACATATACCTGAAGTTTACTTAGAATCACATTAGATGACCCAGGTAGAATGACTAGGGAAATGCCTAAAACAAAATAGGTGTTGGATAAATGATAGCTTTTTATCACTTCCCTAAATCTCACAATTTATGTGTTTTTTTTTTAAGGGAAATGAAAAACATTTAAATTCTGATTCATTGATCTTGAAATAGAGATTTCTAGTCTTGTGGTTTAAAGAGAGATGAAATAGAAATGTCTGATTTTTCTAACTAGACAAGACCCACATAGACATGACCTTGATGTTGACATCATAGTCGGCTTTTGGTTTCCTGCTTTCCAGCACTAGAATCTTAATATTTTCAGACTCCTTAGAGGCTGTTAGGTTCATGTGGACAGAAAATGCCCTTGCAAACTTATAAAATACTGATAGGTAAGCTGACATGCCAACTGCAATAATTTATACATATCTCCTTGGAAAAGCTGCATGGGGAGCCGGATTATAATCAGAAAGTTGTTTAAATTTAGAATCAAAGATTGTCACTGGGATGTTAGTGATTTGTAACATTATTGATCATAATTTACCTTACAAATTAGCATAAAGAATGTTAAAATCGTTGTTAATCCAGCCTCCCAGAGGTAAACAAGGAGTATTTGTAGATAATTCATTGATGGTACTGTGATCTTTATCCAGACATATAGTTTTTTTAAATTAAAAATGGAATCATCTTGTATAACTGTCTTAATAACTTGCTTTGCAAATCTTTATCATGTAAATCCATGTTAGTTGTGTAGGTTTCTGAATTGATTGATAATCTGGGCTGTTCTTCTGGTGTGTGACCTCCCTGGGAGCCATGATGGTGCTTCCTGCTTCCTTGTATCAGTGTACTTAGCAAAGCATGTGATTCATCATAGATCTCAGAGACTGTTTAATGAAAACACAGCAATAAAATGTGAAGCAAGGGCATAAGCCAGTACTAGCCTCACAATGGGTTCTGCGCCAACTGCCCAGATGTGTAGATAACTTTTTTCTTTTCCATTCATTGTAGGACCTACTAAATGAAGCAAAACAGAGACTCGGCAAGGTGGTAAAAGATACAACCAGGTACCAAGTGCTGCTGGATGGACTGGTCCTCCAGGTACCCTTATAGGCCAGGTCTACTGTAGTCTATAGCCACAATTCTTTCAAAGTTAAGATAAATTAGAGGCCAGCTCTGTTTGTCCTGTTTTCTCATTTTAGCTTTTCTCCTTTTGTCCTTTTCTTCATCTAATAGAAATGTGTACTGCATGAGAGAACAGTAATGTTTCTCTGATTGGTTCAGACTTTTAGGCTTCCCTGTGTTTAAATTGTCTTGTTAATCCTTTGTAACTCAGGGGTCAGATTTGCTTACAACCTTTAGTTTTAACTTTTAAAGCTTTAAATTAGCTTCCCTAATATGATTTCACCACTAAAATACTTGCTTTAGATATTAGGGTTTAGACCAAAAGCTATATACATTTTAACTCTTTACTGCTTTGCTATGAATTTTTATTTTACTCATGCTAATTACAGTAATATTTGACTTCAACTTAATTGATATAAGATAAAACTCCCATATAAATTTTGTTTGTACCACCAGAGCCCTGGGTATATTTATCTTGTTTGTGATATCAAGATCTTATTTCATGTTGTCACTGTATATGCTATCTTTTGGGGGAATTTATAAAGGGATATTTTTCAAAACTAGATGGAACTATCATAAAAACATTCTGTTTTGGCTTTGCTTTATTTTATAGTTAGCATTTCCTACTAATCGTATCTGATTATGTCATACAGGGTTTGTACCAGTTGTTGGAGCCCCGGATGATTGTTCGTTGCCGGAAACAGGATTTCCCTCTGGTTAAGGTAAAAGAGCTTAGAGGAAGAGATATTTTCTTTTTTTAAGATCAAAAAGTTAAGAGATGAAATGTATGTTCTGATAGATGACAGCTCACCCATGGGAATTAGATGAGTTTTAACACATTGTAGATACTCATTTAAGTGACCTCAGCCTCTAATCTCTTTTCTTAAAGAGGTCAAATTGCCAGCTGAGCTAGTAACTCTCTCCCTTTCTAGAGACTTTGTAATGCCATAATCTTCTGAACACATACCCACAGAGGCAGCACCTACCGGATTGGAGCAAAGATAGGCAACACTACCTTAATGAGGCAGACTGGTCTCAGACTAGCAAGGCTTGGCTCTAACCTAATACATTCCTATACCTAGAGAAAGAATGTGGGTATCAGAAAAGAGGTTGATCAGCAGTGAAACATAGCTGTAGTCCCAGGGGCAAGTATTGAGGTGCTCCTCCATGTCCTATCTAAGCGAGAAGATCCCCTGGTCTGAGGGATGACCTGCTGGCCCCATGGCAGGTATATATAGGTTGTAGTAGTAGGTGGGTGCTCTGGACTAAAGGAGCCTGAGGCTGGTAAACCTTGAGTCATAGAATATCCTCCCCTAGCTCTGATTCTGTGGTATCAAGTAACTCTTCAGATTAAAATTTTCCATGTAGCTTCCTTTCAGGCAAGGATGTGTGTGCTTAGTCCCTTAGCAGTCACATTTCTCATAAATTAATACATTTATAATACATAATACATTTCCATTTTTATTATAATTTGTCTCCCCAAATAACTTGTCTTCTAGGAAAGAATTTGCCAGCTGGATTACTTAGGCATTCTTTCCTTTTAGTTTCTACAACAAATTAGTAAATTGTGGTTCTTGTTTACAAACTCCATCAGTAACGTGGATCTATGTTTGTGATGACGGCCTCATTTATGAACCTATATAACAGCTAGACATACAGAGAATTCACCAGAGCTATAATCCAAGCTGCCAGTTGGCCTTTTCAAGATGACATGATTGTATTGTTAGGTGTGTCAAGCAAATTTCTTCCTGAAACAGTACAGTGTCGGCATCCAGTAGAGAGCATGACTAGCTCTCACAGTGCTGCTAAATTAGATTTGAGGAGCAGGGAAGAGTTGAATATATGCATATAAATCTCTTCAACTAGTAATATTGTCAGAGAAAAATATGAAAGTTCCTTCAAGAAAATGTTATTTACATTTGTACTAAAGTGTGCATAATATTGTTCAAAGGTAGGACTTATCACTAATTATGTTTTATCACACTAATTGCACTATAGTAGTTAAAAACTCACTTGCATCTTTTTTCCCAATGAGCTCATTTCTTTTTAAAATTGTTAAAATGTACATAACATAAATTTAACCATTTTAAAGGTATACTTGCTCTAAGTACATGCACATCGTTGTGCAAACCATCACCACCATCCGTTTCCAAAACATTTTCATATTCCTGTTAAACACTAATTCTCCATTAAACACTATTTCTTCATTCCCTCCATCCATAGCCCCTGGCAACCACTATTCTTTCTGTCTCTGTGAATTTCACTACTCTAGGTACCTCATATACGTGAAATCATAAATATTTTTTGTGACTTAGTTCACTTAGCATAATGTCCTCAAGATTCATCTTGTGTTGTAGCATGTGTCAGAATTCCCTCCCTTTTTAAGGCTGAGTAACTGTCCATTATATGTACATACCACATTTTGTTTATCCATTCATCTGTCAAGAGACACTTAGGCTGTTGTGAATAATGCTATGAACATGGTGTACAAATAATCTGTTCAAGTATCTGCTTTTACTTATTTGGATGTACCCAGATGTAGAATTGTTGGATCATTTAGCAACTCTGTTTAATTTTGGGGGGAATTGCCATAGTTTTCCACAGTGGCTACACCATTTTACATTCCCACCAGCAATTCATCTATTCTCTTACTTGAAATAAATAGGAATATCTTTGCTTGTATAGTTTGTTGATTTTTTTTTTAATACCTGCTTCATAGTTTCTGCTAAAGCCTGTCATTATTTTCTGCTTTTCCAGGCTGCAGTGCAAAAAGCAATCCCTATGTACAAAATTGCCATCAAAAAAGATGTTGATGTCCAAATTGATCAGGAGGCCTACCTGCCTGAGGAAATGTAAGGAGTATTTCTGCTTTTAACATCTGGCTTTCTCTCATTGGGAGAACGTTCTTTATTCTGGGCCTTGTTTTCTCCAAGGCACTCATCGTCACAAGGATAGCATTATGTCTGTATTCCACTTGCAGTGTTCCTTTGCAGTCTTTCCCTGTTGGCCGGGTAGATATACTCTAAACCTCTATCTTCTGATGGTCAGTTCTTTATGCAGAGGAGGAGCACTAATTCTGTACCCAGAACTCAAAGCTGGGTCCACATCTCTGTATCACATGCTGAGGAATATAATCTCTATCTCTAAGTAGTTACTATTAAAAACAAGAGAAGTCATACGTAACTAACAGTTGGGTTCCTTGGATGTAGAATTGCAAACATCAATGATACTTCTGTTGATGGTGAGAAAATGACAGATTTCTTCAGCATTCCTAGTAAACTTCATGCAATTGCGACTGGCAGCGAGAACTCCTGACAAGGGTAGAGCCAGGGTCATTTCTCTGTTGCACCTATCTGCTGCCGCCTGGGATCGCCACTGACTGACATTGCAGAGTCCTTGGGACACAGGAACTGAGTTGAAAGAGCACCAGACTTGAAGCTGTAAGACCTGTTGCCGGCCATAGGACTTTGAGGCTAACTTCTATCATCTGTAAAATGGAGTCTTTGATTTTGCTTTTTTGTTTCATAAAGTAAGGAAAGAGATGGAAATGCTTTTTAAACTGAGGAGGTTTGTAAGTAAGTGAAAAATACTCGAGCATAACTGTTAAATTTAGGTTTGATTCTTCACTCAGCCATGTACTAACTAGCGAGGTAGTCTTAGACTAGTTATTTAATCTCACTTGATTTCCTCTTTTTAAATTGGGATAACAACACCTACCTCACAGAACTCTTGGAAGCTGAGATGAAATAATATCTGTATAGCACTTAACACAATGCCTGGTACATGCTCAGGGCTCAGTATACATAGTAGTTCAAATGATTATCTTGACGATTAAGCAGACGAGATGTAAAACACTTGGTTCATGCTCTGGTAAATAATAGGCTTCAGTCAAGACCACTGTTCCTGAAACTTTTGGGACCAGATGTTTTGAATTTCAGTATTTAGAAAAGTTAATAAAGTACATATACCACATGTAACATAATATCCCCAACAGGGTGTGAAATAGCATCCCTGTAATCAAATATACTAATATTTCTGAATGGAAATATGAGGGATAAATAAATAAGTATAGATTTGTTAGTCACATACTGCGAAATGACTAGATGTCAATGCAGGTTTTGGTGTCACGTGAATTAAATTTTTTGTTTTCAGAGTTTTTTTAATTTCATGATTGCAGCTAAGGGACTGTGGGCTTATTCCAGTACAAATTTAAAGTGGAATTTTAAGTATTATTATTTTAGTCAATAAATTTGTAATTTTATTCAACCTTTTTAATCCTATAAAATGGTGAGAATACCAAAACTCCCCGTAGAGTTACTGGGAAGACAGAAGTTCTGGAAAGCTCAGGGTTTTATGTTAGTCCCTGACATACAGGAGGCGTTCTCCCATGGGGTTAGAATTTCAGCAAAGAACCAACTATGCCCTTACGAATGACAAAGTCTGTTAAGAGAAACCAAAGATAGGTGAAATGAAGAAATGGTGGGAAGAAGGATGAATAAGAAAACAATATTGTCATAGTCCATTAAAATTTTCCAAAGAAAATTGGCAAAACTTGACCCAGCATTTGTCTCATAGCCTGCTTATTTCAAGAAATATTTGATAAAATGAAATTATGTAGCAAAAGAATTTCATTCCTGGGGCTCTAAATAATAGAATTTTACCTATTTACCTAATGCCTCTAAGTGCTGAGAAACTGCGAGGAAAGAAATGATATAAGTTAGGTATGGCTAGAGGCAGGACTTTGTGAGCGGGAGTTTGGCACAAGGTTGCAATGGAACCTTTTATCTGGTACACAACTTGGCCTTATCAATACCCTTGGTAATTAGCAGGATTGGACCTTGAGGAAACATTCAGATGAGGACTCTGTTGATTTGCAAACCTGGATCAAACCCCCACCCTTCTCATTTTGTTGGGGAGGTTGTTAGAATTAAATTAGGTGCTATAACAGAAAATCAAATTGGCAGAGCAATCACTTGGTAAATGACAGTTATCACCATACCTTAAATCCTAAGAAACTTTCTGAATTAATTTTAAGCTTATTGCTTACGTTTATTGGTCCCTTGTAGTACTTAGACACTCCACATACCAAAATGGCTTTCCTCCAGGGAATAAAGTAATTGCAGCATGTGTATGTCTTCTTCAAATCTATAAAAATTGTTATTTCCTCTGTTCTTTGTAGAGCTGGTGGAGTTGAGATCTATAATGGAGATCGTAAAATAAAGGTTTCCAATACCCTGGAAAGCCGGCTGGATCTCATAGCCCAGCAGGTGAGTGTGGGAACACTTCTCGTTAGTTGGTCTGTTACTTTGAAGTGATAAAGAGAACTCACATCCATTCACAAGTATTTGGGATTTGTTGCTCTCTTTCCACATTTTTTGACATTTTCTTTAAAGGAATGGGGGTTAGGTATTTAGTGGCATTTACTGAAGCAATGCCATTTACATGAGGGAAGATTTGGTGTCAGAACAAGTGTTTTGTTCATCTAGGATTTTATTGTATACATTTAGTACATGTGTTGCTGTCTGAAGTTCTTTTTCCAGCAAGAATGATGGGAACTAGCATACTTATTTAAAGTATTTTAAATAGGGCTGCTGGTTTTTCATATGTTCCCACATTTACACAAATAAACTCTAGGAAACAAGGCAGGAAAATTCAGTCGTTTAAAAGTACTGGACGTCTTCCAGTAGTGGTAGTTCACTACTGCTACTTTGTCTTGAGCTAGAGCTAAAGCACTTTGTCATTGAGTATTAATCACCTCATAATTTAACTGTCGATCTCTTGTGCCCTATAGAGTAGCCACTAGCTACAAATGGATATTTAAATTAAGTAAAGTAAAATTAAAAATTAAGTTCCTCAGTCTCAAGCCACAATTCAAATGCACAGTTACCACATGAGGCTAGTGGCTACTCTGTTAAACAGTGCAGCCTTAGAAGTTTTGAGATTAAACCCTAAGAATTTTTCAGTTGCCATAACGAGTGCCTTAGCACAAACTTGCATTATAAGTTTTGTGCTTGATACATAGTAGGCATTTAATAAATATTTGTTGAAAAAAGAATGTAGGTGATCAGAATATTATGATGAGGTAATATAAATATAGTTAATGGATTCTTCTCCCTACATCACAATATAACAAGCCTTAGATAGTAATGGCTTTAGTTTTTTTTGTTGTTTTTTTTTTCTTTGTCTTCTTTAAGCAGTTAGTCTTAACCCCAAATTTGTGATTGGTTAAGTTTCCTACCAAGGATTCCATTATAGTGTTTCAGATAAGTAAAGGAGAGATTTGATGCACTTAGCTTTGTGAATTCTTTCCTAGCCATAGAGGGGTTAATGACTTGCCACCTATGGTTCAGATGTGCAGTTCTTTCCAAGTTCTAACAGTTGACAACGCTTATTTATTAAAGATCTTATTTCTTCACAGATGATGCCAGAAGTACGGGGAGCCTTGTTTGGTGCAAACGCCAACAGGAAGTTTTTGGACTAAGCCTGTGGGAGGTGGAGTTCACGTACTGCTATGATGTGGAAGTTTCTGATATTTGAAGAAACAAGATTATCTGTGTAGCTTCCTTTTTGCTCTTCTAATATTCTGTATTTATCAGTGGATGTCCTTCTGTAGCTAATGCACTTAATATAATTGTTAACAATGAGAGAAAGTTTCGCTTAAAGTCAGGAAACCTACATTTAGCTTAAGGAACACAGTTTTCTGTTGGTTCTGCAGCATGATAAGGAAATCAGGTGGCAGTTGCATGGACTTCACCCGGTCTTCTGCTCTCCCTCTGGTTCTAGTTATCTGTTCTAGAGGGTCATGTGTATGGTATTCTCTGCCATTATGTCTCTGCTCTTTAGGCTTAAAATGCATGTGGGGCATGCATTCTTTCTAGCTGTAGTAGCTTCAGTGTTTCCTGTCTGGGCCTAGAGGTGTTCCTTATCTGTAAATGTGGTTTAAAATTTAAGCCATGATGCTCTATTTATTAAAACAAGGTTTACGTGAAATCCATTATAATTTATTATGCAAGGCACTGTAAGCTTATGGTTTGAGAGGATAAATGCTTACTAAAGTATCTAGAAGAAATGTCATTTTCCAAATCCCTGTAGCATTTGCTGGTTGACAGTTGTCAGTACTTGAAACCATTAACCCTCCCTGTGTCCTCTGGCACTTCCTGCTTATTTTTACCAGACCCTCACCCAGAAGTGTTCCTCCAGCCAGTTACGGTCTTCCACACATGCCACACACAAGTATTCAATATTACCTGTCCTCTAGAAGTTTTGACAGCTTTATTGAGGAAATAGTTTTACTAGCTTTGGCAGAGTCAGAAAAAAAACTAGGGTTTTTTTTGTTTTGTTTTGTTTCTTGATGAAGGAGGAGGGGTTACTTTGTGTTAGGCCTAAACCCTTTCACAAATGTCCTTTTCTTCCTCCCACTCCTCATTCTTTTTTTCCTCAGATAACTTTTAATAGCTGCCCAAGGTCTTGCAGGTAATAAGTGGAAGAGCTGGTATTTTAACTCCGGTCCATCTCTAGAGCCAATACTCAAATGCAGTCCTCTTAATTAAGAAGGAGGCTAGTAAGGCTATTTTTTCATTAACATAAGTTTTATGTTAGGTAAGGACTAATGGAAATACCAACTCCTGGAAAGGTATTTTTTCTTAGGACTTGACCCCACATGTCTGATACCATTTCTCTTCTCTGTACATAGCAGTCTTATGGGGGAAGGATCGAGGTACATGGGAACTGTCACAGCATACTCAGTCCCTCAAGATGATGCAATTATGAAGTGATAGGTAGAAGCAAGACTTAAAACCCAGTGTAACTCACAAAGTAGCCACCTTGTGGCTGTTCTCTACCCTTTTGAGTAATAATTTGAAGAGTGAGTGATAGAAACGTGTAGCAGTGTACATTTTCATGTCCTTTGGTTCTGAAATGGACAGAAAAGTAGATGACAGATTATTCATTGCAGCCTGTCTGCTTTTTTCACTAATTACTAGATGAGATTTTGACTAGTCGACTTTATTTCAGTGTTTCATAGACATTGGTCTCTAAGAGCCCGTGTTCCAGACGGAGGATATAAGGCAGGGTGGCTGCCCTGACTTTGCCCAGGCTGCTCAGTTTGAGTTGGCCTTACCCCTCAGCCATCTACAATTTGAAAGGATTTGCTTGATTTCAAATTAGGTGCTTACTTTTAGGGCTTTCACGGTCCCTTGATCCTCCTTTTTTCCAAAACGAGTGCCAGGACCAACTAAGTTATTTAATACAAAGAATTAACAAAACAATCCTCCAACTGACTCACGTATGCTGAGTTTGAGTGAAATGTAAAATGTAGAAGCAACTCTTCCATCTTTGCTGTCTGTTAAGGCCCTACAATTAATACAGCCAAAGCATTTATTGTTTTTGTAGAAAAGTTGGTGATTAGGGGCTGCTGAAGGGAGGACAGGACTGTAGTCAGCTTGCTTATTAGAAAAAGTTTGTTTCTTCTGAGACTGAGGTAGCGCTACAAGTTAGAGGACAAAATATAACATGATAGGTCAGCTTGCTTTCCCTCTCTAGTCTAAGTAGATTGGGCTAGCAGATGGCAGCCAGTGAAGGGACTTGAGCTCCAGCTATATCTACTCAAAACACTTTAAGATACGTTCTCCAATACCAATGAAGTAGACACCTTGGGCAATCCCAAAGAGCGGGGCTATGACGAGGGCTCGACAGCCTGCTCCCCTCACAAAGGCAGATGGTCCCTCCTGGATCCAGAGTTTCCTGGGAGAAAGAAGAAGCTTGTGATTGTACAGAAGCCCCACTGCAAGTGGTACTCAGTGATGTGCTCTCCAACATTGTATGTCTTCTTTGAGAGCATGTGTCACTTCCCACACCAATAGCAGGACCCTGGGTGTCTGGGAGCTATACCTCCATTGTACATATGTGTTTGGTTACTAAGCAGTTGGGTTCTGGGTGTGGATAATTGGCTCAGTTTGCTAGACTCTGGGAGAAAGATCCCATAGGGATTCAAAGAAGAAAAAAGCTCCCAGTACAACCTGATTCTGTTGACAGGTGAGGGAAAAGAAAAGATTTCAAAGCAATCCAGAGCCCAGCGTAGTCCAGCGATAACCTTGTTTTCTAGATGGGTGAAGGTGGACAGCAAAGCAAGGGGAACTGTCCTAGGCACACCTCTGTAAAGGGCTCTCACCTGGCACAGTCAGTGATCCCACTGTAGCTGTCCTCACCCAGGCCTTTCTTGAGGGTTTGGATTCGAGTTTTCAAAACTAAATCAAGCAAAAGTTAAAATAAGTAGGGAACATTTGCTTTTGGTGTTCTTCCTCAACATGAAATGGTCCTGTTTCCTTTTAGAACCAACCAGTATACAAAAAACTGAATCCTGAGGCCAGCTTTTTCATTGTAGGATTTGTAATTGAAGATCTTCCCCTCTTTAGGCCTCATTTAAATAAGATGAAGGAATTAGAAACCACATGATTCCTTAGGTCACGCATGCTATGGAGAGGTCTAGCTGTGCTAGAGGAGCTGGCTGTAACCTTAAAGGTAGGGGAAGCATTATCTTACACTATTTAGCTCCTGCCTTTAGCACTGAGTTTTAAAATACCAGCACTCATTTATAACTGATGCTCACAACTTGACTAGGGGGTAAAACTAATGAAATCAGCACCTAGAAGTTGAGGATTTGTCAGTGATAAGAAATAGGGTGAAAAAAATAGAATGAAGGTCTCCGACTCCACTTTACGTGGGAGGATCTTTGATGGGTTTCTGAGTTCTCAAGTTGGGGCTGTTTCCTCTATCCTAAAAGTGCAAAATTACTATTCATCCTGTAACGACTATACAGGTGCCTAATTTGTAAAGCAAGTCAACACTTGAAACCCGTACATCTCCAATGCACTTACCATCCAGGGGTGTTACTGTGACAGCAGCTATGGAACCTGCAACACAGCCTGACAAAAAGGAATGAGCAAAGGAAGCCTTCCCAGTAAGCTCGTTGAACCCAAGGCTGTTAAGGTTGGCAAACAGTGGGAAGTAGATGATGGAGAAGGGAATATCTCTGCAGAAGAAGAAGAAACACCGAGCTACGTGCTACTCTGGGGCTTCTATCCAAGGTCATACAGTCAGCCCATGAACTAGAGGGCCCACCAGATGCATCAGAGACAAGCCTAAAATTCTGTATTCCTGCCTTAGCGCCCCATGATAATGCAGGGTGACAGACGGCATAAGCAGTAAGTTCAATTTGCTTTCTACCCTTCCAGCTCATTCTGTCCTCCCAGCACCTGCAGCTTCTTAATGAGCCAGATGCAAATTCAAAGACTGTTGATGTGTTATATAAAAGTGGGTAGGCAGGCTAAGGGAAGAGTTAATAAGTAGAGTAAGTGGCTGGTGAAGAGCTAGCTATAAGCTAAGTGTTGAGAGGGTGAGAGGGACAGGAAGGCGAAGTTCATTCATCTATTGCCCAAGTGGTAGAAAATTGTCCAGGGCCTTAGACACTTCTACTTTAAGCATTTTGGCCAAGTAGCAAAGTAAAATAGGGAGTATATCCACTCATTTACTTACAGATGATCCACAGTCCTTTGTACACAGGGCATTTTACCTGCGTTTGGGCCATAGAACACCCAATACTCATGAGCTTGGCCACTGGAGAAGGCCTAAAACTAATCTTCCAGGTACCCTGCCCAATTCTGAGAAAAATCAGAAACAGTTTGAGTATTCTAGGAAGAACACAGGCAAGTTGAGAAAGCAGTCTCTCTGGCCCTCTGTTCCCACTCCCTTTTCATTGGTGCCCTTCTGTGTCCCAAGTTCAGGAAGCCTTACCTGAGGAGAGTGGCACCAAGGCCCTTATAGAGACCAGGCAGGCCCTGAGTGTGAAGCAGCTCCCAGGCAATGAGGGTGGCAGATGGGCGCTTGTGTGTGGAAGCCTCGCAAGCCGAGCCAATAGCGTAGGACCTGGAGGAGGAAGGTACTGAGGCCGAACCCTGATGGACTGCTGAAAGGGAAAGAACAGACCGCATCACAACCCAGGCCTCACTAGACACTGCAAAAACACTCGCAAGAGTATGATTCCAAGTTCCTATCTCTGGGATAACTCAGAGAAGGTGGACACTCCTACTAGAATTCTGAGGATTGTCCTAATTTTAGAACATTTATTTTTGACTCCAAGAAAACCTTTATAAGATCTATATTGTCTAACGAGCTGTCCCCACTGCATAGGATGGTTCCCCAGCCATTCCCTGCCTGGCTCTCTTTCTCATAGGAAGCTATAGTAGTGACCCTACTCCCCAGTTCCTTATCATCTTGTGAAAACTGATCTGTCTTCCATTTATAAACCGTCTCTGAACCTATTTCATAGTTCCATCCTATTAGCACTTTGGGACATAGGAATCCCATATATCTTGTCTCTGATGTGTAAAGCAGCAAATTATTTTTGTTAAGAACTATCCGCTTCAGACCTATGGAGCCTCCTTTCTCTAGTATTCCAAGATTAGGTGAACATGCACTTTTTACCCTTCACTGTTTTACAGAATTTGATTCTTGAGATGTCAGCCCATTTTAGTTGAATAATTCAGAGCTCATAATATGAGCTCATTAATAAATAGAATAGATTTTTTCCCCTGAGCATATTAAATACAAGCATGTCAAATGTGGATGAGTCCTGTTAATGACCACAAAATTCAATGCACTGAAATTGTGTGAAAATCAATTTTCTTAATTGAGAAAATTGATTTGAGAAGTGTTTGAGAA